GTTTTTCTGAAACTAGCATTCCGACTGCTTAAAAAGAAAGGTGGCAGACTCCCATGTGAATGACTATAGACTATATGGTGGTTGCATCCATCATGAGATATGCTTCTTTGATTTGGTGACAAATAATGGAACAAGCAATTGTTATTAACGAGCTAAGAAAGATGCAAAGACTTGCTTCTTTGAGAATGATGGGAGCACTGGAAACCACACCACCAGCAGCATCAGATACACTCTCCAATCTATCTCCTTCATATTTTGTGATATCAGATAAGGTGGGTGTATAGGCTAATTAAGTCTAGAAAACTCGGCGAGAAACAAGGGATCAGGCAAAATTGAACAACAATTATGTGAACATCAAACATATTCACATGACATCGAGTATAAGAAGCTGCAACTTCCAACTTGTATTAGGTTGTTTCAAAAGTTTTGTCCGTTTCAATGTCATGCGTTTTTTTAGCTCCATATCTCAATAAATATTTATTCGTGGTATATACTGATCGATAGAGAATTTTGTACTTTGTACACTGATGCTGTTCATTTTTTTCAAATTTAAATTTTTCAACTCTTTTCAGCTCATTACTATATGATGTCATTAGGCGATTTTCGGCCAATTTTTCTCTACGAATTCAAATCGAACCGAAGCATAACCGAAACATCCCGAAAAAAGAATCAGGTATTTGCCAGAAATAGTGTTAATGAACGCACTGTTCGGCGTTGGTTTGGGAAATTTCATTCCGGAGATTATAGCCTCGAAGATGAACCCCGAAGTGGACGACCAACAGTAATCCAAGACGAGTATTTGAATACTCTGGTGAAGACTGACCCATCACAAACGGTGTGTGGGATGTCGAAAGAACTGGTATTCAGCTCCCATTCGGATTTTAATGGTACAAAACGTATTGGAAAGGTCAAAAACAAAAAAGTCTAAAAGTGGGTGCCCTACGATTTGAACGATCGACAGAAATTGTCACGTTTCGAAGAATGTTCTTCTTTGCTTTTGTGCAACCAAAACGATCCTCTTTTGATTGGATCGTCACCCATCATGAAAAGTGGATCCTCTACGATAGGACAGTGGTTGGACACCAATGGGCCACCCAGGCACTTCTCAAATGCAAAAATTCCCAAAAAAACATGATTACTATGTTGTGGTCAGCGGCTGATGTGAATCACTATAACTTTCTGCAACCAGGCCAAACTATCGCACCAAAGTCCAATGGGGAATGTTCCTCAATTTGGAATTTACAGCAAATGCAAGTTTGAACAAAATAAAGTTGAGTTTAATTCATGAGTTTTTCAAATGTTGGGTTTTAATTTTCAAAGGGATTTGTTTCTAATTCACATATTGGCAACAGCGCCTGTATCAAGTTGAAATACCTAGATATTTTACTTTAAAAAAGAAAAATTATCTTTATAAATCAACAATTAAGGGAAAATATAAATTATAGTTCAATACCACCTCCACAAGCCACATAAACAGTTGTTTTGTCATTTATTTATATAGAGGAAGATAGATTAAGTGCACAAAATGTCATATGTCATAGAATGCCTCGGAACTCGGAACATAAGTAAACAGAACATCACGCCTCTGAAATATGTCATCTTTGTTTGTCTCATACAGGTAACAGATTCATTGTCCTTTATTAGCTATAACCGATGTTGCCAAATGGTGAAATAGAAACGAATCCCTTTAAATGTTGAATGCATTATTTCATTCCTCTTTTTTATGAGAACTCTTTTATGAAAACTACTTGATTTTCGTCAGAAGGAACATTCCCCATTGTGAGGAAATCTTCGAAATGTACCGGAAATTGCGTCAGCAGCAGCTAGCACTGGTCAACAGAAGAGGTCCAATATATCTTCACGATAACGCCTGTCCGCACGTTTCACAAATCACCGTCCAAAAATTATACGAATTTAGCGTCAATATATCTCTCACCCACCATACTCCCCAGACCTCTCGCAAACCGACTACCATCTTTTCAAGCACTTGTATGACTTCTTCATCGGTAGAACCTTCGCCAATAAGAACCAGGCTAAAAACGGCCTTCGTCGACTTCGTCGAATCCCGAGCACTCAATTTTTATGCTGACGGAATTAATCGACTTGATTGAATTGAATAAATATTCGCTGAGATATTACAATTTGAAGTAGACTCAGAAAAACGGACAAAACTTTTGAAACAACACAATACGTCATAATTTGATAAAACAAACGACCTCAGCAAATGATCGATATGTTCTTGATGAAGGTGACAATTAGCGGCGTAATGTTCATGGTTTGTAGTAGACCTTTTCTTCTGATTTACAATTATTTTTTTAACCTCCTTCTATTCTTTCAAATAACGGACATATTGTTTGTGAGAGACATTGTGGAATACCCTGTATATCAGTAACTGATGCACTTGTTCATAATGTTGTTTACAGTGTTTTGTTCTACATACATTAATAACATACATCTACGAATATCTGAGTTGATAACCAAAAAATGATAATTTCATAATTTCGATTCATTGTTTTCAAAAAACATCCCAATAAAATTCGAGCCAACAGATCATTTACAAAGTCGATCGATAGAAGATGTGATTTTATTTGTGCAATTTGGACACCCCGCAACCAAATTGTCACGCCACTGTCGCGTGATATCTGTTTTTTACTTGGCCTGAAATCTGAAGCGCATCCATGATCTCCTTGCAGTAGCGCATAACGAGAGCTACACTTGGTAGGTAAGTGCACAGAAAGTTAAATGCATCGAGTACAGGGTTAAAATCATCTCAAATACATTATTGAAAACATTTCAGAATGGAACTGAACTCTTCATTTCAACTGTTTTTCCTTAACTTACACCTTATCTTAGATACTCCTGAATCTTTCTCGTAGAAGGTAATTGGTTGACGGTAAAAACGATAGTTAGCGTACGATATAGTTTTGATTTATAAAAAAAAATTGTGATATTCTGTGATGAAAGGTTTACAGTCAAACAAATAGATAATTTCCATAAATTCAACAGATACTCCTTTTGACATTTTTATTGTTTATTTTACTTCTCGTAACTAGAAGTTATTGTTGGAAATACCAAAAGTTCTCTTATTTTAAATTTGTGGCGACATCTATATTTAATATATGCAATATCCATATTATTAGTTGGCAACACTGCCGTGCATTTGTTTTGTATTGAAAGTAGTTGAATAAAAACTTTCATCGCGACATTTTTTCCAACAACTTTAGCTTTATCTATAACAGTTTGCTATTGAAAATAACAGTTATTAGACTGTTGAAATCTCAGAGTAACAAAAGACAATAGAGAGGCCTTTCCCATCCTTACATTAAAAGCAGCATAACTTTGTTTGTTTACGGGAAGTACATTGGACCATAAAACGGTGGCGGTTGGTTTAGTTGATAACCTGAGGGATATTATATATTTATAAAATAAATCATTTCAGGTGAAAATGTATTCTGTTCAAATAGTTAATACAGGAAATCCGATTTATTATTAATGATTATGGAAATGGGACCAGTTTTTCTACCACATACTAGATTTTCATTTATGTATGGCTTTATAATAAAGCGCGTGGTTTACTGGGTTAAAATTAAATTATTTCAAATGAACTAATTCATAACAATGATAAATTTTCATTTCAAAAGTAATTAACTTTGCTTCATAAAATCAGCTGAAGAAATGTGTGATTTATTCTCAGATTTGATAAACAAGCGGTACGATTTGTGACGTCCGATATAAAGAATTTTCGATTAGAAATCATGAATATTTATAATTACGATTGAGGTTTGATATTATTCTGTGATTTCATTCAAAATTGGTATCTAGGGTTCTTTGTGGACCGACATTATGAAAGGGGATATTTTTGATGTTTGTAATGATCGTTTTTGGATCTTATTCTTATAAATGAAGTTTTGAAACTAGGTTTACATTATTTCGATTCATGACGGTGTGCTATGAACTACAAATTTTGGCGCGGTTGCTTCCCGCTAGCCATTCTGTAACAACGGCTTCAAAATCAGTCGCGGGAAAAAACGTCAGTGCCGCCGCTTCCATTCGTTTCATTTACTCACAAAATCAGGCGGTTTAGCCGTATTACGGCTTAAGCCTAAGGAAAAACATCTGCTCACTATTATAACTTGCAAGTAAGTATCCAGATTATTTCCATGAGAAGTATTCAAGAATGTGCAAACCACCCTGTATCGCTACAAAATACTCTCTATTTATCAATAAAAATCAGCCTTGATGAAAAAACTATTTTGTACATTGTGGAAGGAATAATAATTATTCATGAACCTATGTACCAAGGGTATCAAGTCAATGTTTATACCCACGAAGAACGATCTTACAAACTCGAAGACCTCTATTAAGGACATCTATCAATACCCGCGATGCAAACTTGTATGTCATAATAGTCCGTTAATACATTCACAATTTGTGTTTTAACAATCCGAAAACTGCATTTGATTTTAACATTATTTCATTTCATAATAATTGGATTATAAGTGTCGCTAGGGAAATACTATATTTTTATATCCAAGAAACAAATTTTACTATCTAAAAGTTAAAATGCAGTAAAGTTTTGAAATTCCAATAAAATTAAAAAAAAAAGAAAAATTAAAACAACACTTGATACTGAAGCAATCAAGAGACGTTCATGACAGAAAATATATGTCTGAAAACACTTTTTGTTCACCAGAATACTGAATTGGTTAGCATCAGAATGATGCTGATTATGCTGGAATCTGGATGATGCTAACTTGGTTAACGAAACTCGCGTCAAGAGACAGCATTTTTGTTCTAGTGTGGAAAAATGTTTTCAATAGATTCATTCTGTGTCAGAGAGGTTCCAAATTCTACTCATCAAGACAGAAAATATGACTGACAAACTACTAGACTGGATGGCAGAAAACTGTGTAGAAGTAATAGATACATTAATTTCATATTTTTTTATCTCATCAGTGTAATTGCACTTTATATATGCACAGGTATGAATAACGAACTAGTATGGCATAAAAATTAGTTTATACTTACATTACAGAATTGTATATCAGATATAGTTAGAGGTGTGATGTGGTGGATGGAATTCATTTGTTCAAAACTCTCGGCCCCTACGCATTTTGATCTGATAATTCACAGACAGAAATTAAACTATTCAGAATTTGCAACATCATACTGTTGTCTACATTTTATGCAGTGATCATTTCATAGAGATTTCAGAAGAATACTTCAAAAATCATTATTTTGAATTATGTCCTATACTACACAACTTCACAACTCATTTTGTTTCCGATTGTGAGTGAATCTATTCGACCCTTCGCTGTACCGCTAGCGTTTATTGTGGTTATGGGATAATAGAATTGCTTGTGGGTCAACTATGCAAAACAAGTCAATTAGGATATTTTGATGATTGTGATTAGGAAGATTCAAAAATGAATCGCGTCTCTATTGCTGGGAAAATACAAACATAAAACTATTAGATATCACTGGATATAATTCATCGTCATTAAATCTAATCTGGAGTTTAATATTTGTGTCGAAGCTATTTTCCAAGTTTCTTGGCCGTGGTTTGCAAATTTTTATACCTTCAATGTACCTTCAACTACAATGAGGAAAAGTTCTCCTACCACTACACCAAAACGAAGCCAATGAAAAGGAAAGACAAACCACTGATCTTCTCTTTCCCCAAGTTGAAAATATACCTCCAGCATTCGCTGTGGAAGAACTGGTGAAAGCGAATAGCTGCCTAAAGGTAAAGCCACAGGATCGGTCATAATTCCTCCCGAAGCCATTATAGAAGCTGTCAAACTGAATTCAGACTACATATTCAGCATCATGAATGATCTATTGATCAAATGAGAATTTCACAAGATCTGGAAGAGGGCGAGGATGATCCTAATTCATAAATCAGGTAATCCAATAGACCACCCTACAGCTTTCATATCTCTGTGGTTGACAAACACGCTTGCTAAGCTATTCGAATACCTCATCAGAGCAAGAATGAAGAAATTCAATGGAGAGAAGAGATTCCTGGACGAGATGCAGGATCCACAATATAGATCCACAATATAGACTGTGGAAAAAGTACCTGGCCTTGGTGTTTTCTTGTAACACTGGATGTTCAAAATGCATTCAACTCTGCTTCCTGGGAAAATATTATGCAGAGACTAGTGGAAACTGGAACTCTTAAATACATAAAAAAACTAATTGGAAGTTACCTCTTAGACCGGAAAATTATTAAATGTCGAAGTGACCAAAGGAACTCCACAAGGCTCTGTATTAGGGCCAACATTATGGAATACATTTCATAATCCAGTGTTGAAAACAAAAAGGGCACCCGGAACTCCGGAACGTATGCAGTAGGTTTTACTTTGATTTGGCACCAGAAAAAAAATTGGAGCCCTCATACACGTGAACCCGAAGAAAGACAGACAAAAAGTGAGCCTGAAGATAAGAAATACAGCCATCACAACCAAACAACTCTGAAAACCTAGGAATGAAGGAGGGACTTTCAGAACTTATATCAATACAAAAACTAAAAGGGTAGAGGAAAGGACGACAGGGTAAATGAATGATTTCTAGCCTAGACAAAAATCAGAATAATTACCACGCTGGATACTGCAACATGCTGAGAAGGATAATAGCCAACAAAGAAAAGGAAGAGAGGAGACAACAATGGATCATTTAGCCATCGCGATCTCAAATGGCTACAGGAGGTTTTGATTGATTAAAGTCCGACACAGCCAGCCCACGATAGACTCTAGGCGGCTAATGTGTACAGGAGGTTTTCTCCCGTAAAAAAATAGGAACGAAGCCTCGCCCTTCACCTGACACCCAAACAATGTAGTATGTGCTGCACGATGATCAATCAGAGCACTGAAACCGGTGCCTTGTAGCCTTTGATGATCTGTAGACATAAAAACCTAACGAGTAGAAGTAACAAAACTGGAAAATAGCTTCAACACCACAGCCATATATTTGTTAAAAAATTTGTTCATTTTTCCTGGCAGTTTTGACATGGAACTCTGTCAAAATACAAGCGGACGTATCTCAAAAATACGCAAGGCACTTATACCATCCTTAGATTCCCTTTTGAGATCCGTTTTCAGACCAAAATGCGTGGAAGTAAAAAATCGTAAAACGGACTAAAATCTACGAGGTAATACTCCATAACTTACAACAGCACTTCCGGCAGGAATGTATTTGGTTCAGGTAAAACTATTATCAAAGCCACAGCCATAACGACATGCCAAACACTATGCAAATACTTGTAGTTGTCTTCGGTTTGCAAGAATGCGTACAACACAAGACCGAAAAAAACAACCACAGTACCTATCGGTATGTTATAAAACAAGTACCTCCTGTTGGCGAATCTCTGCTTCACTTTACGGTACTTCAAGTACCAACTGCACGATATGATTGCGATACCGGTTATCACTGGCAAGGCGAATATCCACAGAGCAGTCTTATTGATAGTCGTGCAGAAAGACAGCACGATAGCCCCTACCATATGACAGGCTGGAGTTATCAGGGAAGGCAAGTCGGCTATGGCGATCAGGGTGACCCAAATGGCCAAGAGGGCGCAGAAAAAGTCTCCGAACTGTAGAGCGGAGAGACGTACGAGGCAGTAGCTTATAATGTGTTCTCCAGCATCACAGGCATGATAGAATGTCGAAAAAAAGCATATGGAGAAGTACGTTATAGCTTCTATATAGAATTTTCTTTTGTACGCCACGTAGACAGCCGGCAGGAACATTAGGTTGCTGAGGACTAGAAGTAAAAGTTCGATTACTACCATGTAGTAGGGAGTCGCTTGAGAGCCGTCGGAACAGTCCCATCCTGCAAATAAAAGGATAATTTTATGTATTACATATTATAAAATATCAAAAGATAATTTTTCAAAGACATTTTTTTCAACGACAAAAAATAAGCACTACAGGAAAATCCTTAAGGCGTTCTTAGAACGGTGCCTGTGCGAAAGTAGCGATTCACATTGTATTTGAGTCGCTGGAGATTAAATCCATTTGGAAAAATGTTCACAGTAAGTTTATTCCAGATAAACGCAGTTCTCCAAATGAAAGAGTTTTAAACAGTGAAGTTCTAGGTGTACTTAGTTGAACCTCAAAACGATGAACAGCCACAATCCGTTGCGTATTTCTGATATGTACCGCTCTTGGTGGAATCAAATGTGCCAAGTCACTTGAACACTTTCCGTGAAATTATCTATAGAAGAGAGACAAATCTCCAATATTTCTTCGATGTTCCAGGCTATCAAGGTTGCAAGTGATGTTCGCGTCTCCAATCAAGAGGATGATTCTGTTCGACAAGGAATCCAGCAGCTTCAGGGTATGCTTACTGGCGGAGCTCAATACATGAGAACAATACTCCAAATCTGATATGAGATCTGATATGAGCTGATATGAGATTTATAAAGCACCAAAAGTTGCTGAAGTATGTACGGTTTTCTGGTTCGGAACAGTGTTCCAAGGTTTCGAGAAGCAGCCTTTGCAATTCCAGCGACATGATTGTGCCAAGACATATTGGTGTCCATTTTAACCCTTAACAAACTTATCGAAGCAGCAGCTCTATCAATAACTTCATAGCCTGGAGAATGTCTATTTTGTACATAGACAGATGAACCAGTGTGAAGGCAGCCCTGGGTTTCAGCCACGAATTAGGGGAATTTACCATTAACGGAAAGGTGTGCGCCAAGCCACCATTAGTCGTTAAAATTCATTGCTTGTCATGAAAAGTTGTCTTTTATAATAATAATTTCATGGCCAGCTATAAAAATTTTCACATGAAACGATAGTTTTCAACGTTTTCAATAATACCTTTACAGTCCTCG